CCGCATTAGAAACCAATATGGCAGCCAAATTGACAAATCCTAAATTTGTAGTAAATCACGCAACAACAAAATTTTCATTCATGAACGCTGACGCACATGCAATAAGCTAAGTCATTTCATTCATAAAAGCAAACGCCTTACACATCTCCGCGAGCATGCGCTTGCCTACAAGCGTCTTTTCGTGACGTAGGCAAAAGCTAGAAATCATAAATTGAACAACTTTATTATGTTTCATATATACAGGAAAAGTGGAAAAGAACGTGGCCAAAGTGGCAACAAAGTTTTTGTCGATTTAAAATATTTTTCCGTGACTAGCAAAAATCTGGTGTTTATTTTTTCGGCACATCTCGCATTTTCTACCAACAATACAATTGTGACACTGTCGTCGTGTCCGTCCTTCGACACATTGACTCAAAAAACGTGGGCTTCGGTTATTAGTTGACCGTGTCAACGGAGATTTCACATGAAGCAGTGAGTGTACATATCTACATACATATGATGTTTGTAGACAAATTTACAAATATTTTTCTTTCATATTTCTCAACATCTAGACATGAGTAATTAGACATGATATGAAAATGCCTACGGCAAAACGCAATTCTTTACATTCGTACATTATTCGTACAACACAATTCTGTACCTTTGAGACTCCATAATGGTGTCCAGTCAATAAAAGGGATCTTATTTCAAATGGCATATCAATATTGCCTGGTTGGGCATACATATCTACATCATTTCTATTCAATATTTCTCGGTTGGGCATGTTAAGAGAGCTGTATTTGTACAGATTCCAAGCTTTATAAAAGCGAGGAATGTTATTTGGTTCTCCCCCTTGTGAGGTGAAATCCCCGACTGGAATTTTACAAATGTTCGCTGTTAAAGAAAGTATATCGTTCTCAAGGAAATGTGAGATAGTTTCAAAGCCACAACTGAAGTATCCTGGAGTAATATTAGACTCAAAGTTTAATGTTGCTGGCGTGTTTAGTGCTTGATTTATCGCGCTTTTAGTAGTTTTAACCGTACCATTATATGGGGAGTGGACGGGGTTGTCACCCGATTTCATTTTCCATTTCAGACTGTCGATAGAGGTGCTAAAATCATTTGTCATTTTGTACGTTTTGTTATTATAGCTTTAGCGGTTTAGGAGATATGCACATCAAACTTATAAGGGGGCGGGACCATCAAAAAATTTAACTGCAGATGCCCCTCCCTAATGTGATCCTGTATACCAAATAAGAGTCTTGTATCTTGTTGTGGAGCTTAGTTATGGAAATTTATTTGTTTTTGATAATTGTCGTGGCGTGGCAGTTGTCCGATTACGCCCATTTGCTATACCAACCGTCTTACGGTACCAAAATGTGTACCAAGTTTCATAAAGATATCTCAATGTTTACTCAAGTTACAGCTTGCTCAGCTCAACTCGTCTCTTCATCCTGATCATTTATGTTTACATAAACCTTTATATAACTAGATTAGTTTTGGGTGATGCAAACAACCGTTAATGAACAAAACAATTATACTCTCTAGCAACAGGTTGCGAGAGTATAAAAATTTAGGAACATTTTTCACGAACAAGCCTTAAGTTAGCTATTCATATATACATATATAACGGTAAAGCAGTTAAGTATGAAGTTAGATGCGAAAACATTTAATAAGATCAACTGTGGTCATCAAACGAAATTACTTAGTAAACTACCCAATATATAGTACGTATCAAAATGTATGCATTGCTACAACGTGTTTATGAGTATTAGATTTTGTTCTTGTGTGCTCCACACACACACGTAGCAACTGACAGCAAAACAATTTGGCAAAAGCAAGACGAAATTGCGACGCGACCTTGAAAAATCACTCTAATGCGTCCAAAGAAGTATTCGCTTCAAAAACTTAATATATTACAATAGTAATTTATATAAATCCTACCTTTCATCATTTAAAACTTACATATAATTATATTATTATGTATCATGCACATATGTATGTATGTATGTACCCCTTCAATCATTCAAATCATAATGTTAACACTTATCAGTAATAACATATGCAAGCACTGCCCTATATGTACATACATAACTACATATGTATGTGCGTACGGCATTGCCACACAAATAATGCCTACACAAACATATGTATATGCGTACACATTTAGATATGTCACTAGCAAAAATTACAATCATTGCACGAATCGTCTGAAATAGCATAAGCAGCGTCCCAAGTCAAAATGGCAGCCAAATAGACGTCGCGTCTTTTCACGACGATGGCAAAAGCTAAAAATCATAAACTGAACAACTTTCTGATGTTCGTTCTGAGAAGAAAAAGTGACATCCCCGCAAATCCGCATACTCGCAAAACACGGAAAGAGTGGCAACAAAGCATTTGTCGATTTAAAACATTTTACAATTCTAAATTATTTTTTCATGGCTCCCAAAAATCTCAGTCGATATGTATGCTTGCTCATATGTATGGTGCCGTTTTGTTATATTAATGTGTTTAAGCGAAAGTGTGTTGTGTTGTGTGCGAGTGTGGTGTCATCGACTATGGTGTTTTCCAATTTGTTCCCAGGCGTGGTGTATATGGTGGTTTATATTAGGGAGTGTCATTAGGGGCCCGGGTGGAGCGATGTATTTGGAGGGGGGAGTTTATACTCATTTAAACATCCAGGGCCCCCTAGGCGAATATTTTTGCCCAGTATTAAACTAATTGGCTGTTAATGTTGAAGGTATTTCGGCGTGATGTTGGTAGAGTACTTCACAATACTGATCTTCAGGGGTTGTGATTGATATGGGGGAGTTCTTCTAACTCTAAAGATTTCTGTTTGTCATTTCCTCAACTAGAGTTGTCATGGTGGTAACTGGATCCGTAACGTAATTGGAAATAAAAAAAAGGTAATTTCTGGACACGTCTCCAAGCTACGTATGACTCAGTAGTAGAATCTAACGATTCGGATCTTTCGGAAAATTGTAAATCCTCGGCTTACGCTTACGGAAATCTGTTAAAATAAATTGCACCTGTTCGAGAGATTCCGACAGTAAAGCTGCTTCAAATGCACAGTAAAGAGGCTAGTTCAGGCACCCATTTCAAGGTGCCGCATGTGACAGAAACATTTTATGGCGGTCATTAAAAATGGCCGTCCTTCCGGGACATGTTTACATCAACCATCCTTAATTATTAAAAGTGCAAAAATTGTATCACCTCCGATACACAACAGTCAAACAGTTCGATAGAGGGTATTATTTGTGTGGCAATGCCGTACGCACATACATATGTAGTTATGTATGTACATATAGGGCAGTGCTTGCATATGTTATTACTGATAAGTGTTAATATTATGATTTGAATGATTGAAGGTGTACATACATACATACATATGTGCATGATACATAATAATATAATTATATGTAAGTTTTAAATGATGAAAGGTAGGATTTATATAAATTACTATTGTAATATATTAAGTTTTTGAAGCCAATACTTATTTGGACGCATTAGAGTGATTTTTCAAGGTCGCGTCGCAATTTCGTCTTGCTTTTGCCAAATTGTTTTGCTGTAAGTTGCTACGTGTGTGTGTGGAGCACACAAGAACAAAATCTAATACTCATAAACACGTTGTAGCAATGCATACATTTTGATACGTACTATATATTGGGTAGTTTACTAAGTAATTTCGTTTGATGACAACAGCTGATCTTATTAAATTTTTTCGCATGTAACTTCATTCTTAACTGCTTTACCGTTATATATGTATATATAATTAGCTAAAGTAAGGCTTGTTCGTGAAAAATGTTCCTAAATTTTTATACTCTCGCAACCTGTTGCTAGAGAGTATAATTGTTTTGTTCATCAACGGTTGTTTGTATCACCCAAAACTAATCTAGTTATATACATATAGGTTTATGTATACATAAATGATCAGGATGAAGAGACGAGTTGAGCTGAGCAATCTGTAACTTGAGTAAACATTGAGATATCTTTATGAAACTTGGTAAACATTTTGGTACCGTAAGACGGTTGGTATAGCAGATGGGCGTAATCGGACCACTGGCACGCCCACAAAACGCCATTAATCAAAAACAAATAAATTTCCATAACTAAGCTCCGCAATAAGATACAAGACTTTTATTTGGTACACAGGATCACATTAGAGAGGGGCATCTGCAGTTAAAATTTTTTTTTAAGTGGGCGTGGTCCCGTCTCTTATAGGTTTAATGTGCATATCTCCTAAACCGCTAATGTTATAATAACAAAATTCACTGGAAGCAAATGTTTTTAGCACCTCTATTGACGGTGTGAAAATGGGTGAAATCGAGTGACAAGCCCGCCCACTCCCCATATAACGGTACTGTTAAAAACTAGTAAAAGCGCGATAAATTAAGCACTAAACACGCCAGAGACATTAAATTTTAACTCAAGGATGGTATGAGATGACTTTATAGGAACCGCGTTCAAAATTAGACAGTGGGCGTGGTACTTCATACTTTTATTTGAAAACCCATATCTTGGGATCTGCTTAACCGATTTCAACCAAATTTGATATATGACATTCTTCTCATATTTCTATAATATAGTACGAAAATGAGTGAAATCGGATTACAACCACGCCTATTTTCCATATAACAAATCAAGCAACAATGATTATATCGGCGTAAAACTTTGCGTGAATAAAACGTTTAAAGTATGGCACCTTGTGACCAAAAATTATCTTAATTTGACCTAAACTGTTCAAGCCCCTAGGTATGAATATATGGACCCCAGCGCCTATAGTTGACTTGTTACCGAAAATATCGGTCAACATAGAACAAGGCGGCAAGATCTACAAAGAAATCTAAAACGAGTATACCATTTGACTTTGCGAGAGTATTAACTGTGGTAAAATTCACCCATCGTTTGTTAGATTTTGACATTTCACACGCTGGTCCGCAATTGAACCTATCATCTCTATAAATCTACGTTCTCTAATATTACTTGATATTCTCAAGTTAAGCTACAGAAAATACGATATAAACTCATTCCTTTTTTGATTTATTCGAAAGCGCTGCATTTTGTTTTCCTATAGCTAAACGGACTAATTTATATAAAAGCTTACAAATAAATTTCAGCAACTTCCACAGCAAATAAAGTGTTATCAAGATAGCTAATATAACGTCCAAGCTATTCGACTGAACAAAATTCAAATGAATCAGTGGACTTTGCATGTGTACAGCTCCATGATGACGTATAACATATTTAACCCAAAAAATAACAGATTCTCCAGCAGTCAATGGACGATTTCGATATAGTTCTGAAAATCGACGCACATTACTGCGATATATTGGGTTATGAAGAACTTCCAATATGGCGTCTCTGAACTTATTTTCTTCCAAATTTAAAATGTCCACTAGTACTCCATAACCGGAAGACACTATTTTAGCAGCATTCGTGGGTTGTTCAGCAAATATTGGTATTGCAACCATAGGCACACTGTGATAAATCGCTTCCACCATTCCACCCTTGCCGGCATGTGTGATGAAAAGCTTAAGGTTAGGATGTGCGAGTATATCATCTTGGGGTAACCATTTTTGGTAGAGTATATTTGAGGCATTACCAGGGGTATTTTCCAAATTTTCCCACTTCCAAATCACGTTATGTTCCTTTGTAGTACTTTGTAAATTATATTAACAGTCTCTGGTTGTATGCTGGAACTTTTCATGTTCGAACCCAAACTAAAGAGTACTGCTCCATTCTTTTTGGAGGCATTCAAAAAATCATCAATAATCTGAAATAGAATGAACGGTTTATAAAAAATCGAGGGTTTCAATTAATTATTTTATTATATGAATTTAAATTATATATCTTACACATTGACCGATATTTTCGGTAAAAAGTCAACTATAGGCTCTGGGGTCCATATATTGAGTACCTAGGGGCTTGAACAGTTTTGGTTCGATTTAGACAATTTTTGGTCACAAGATGGCATACTTGAAACGCATTATTCACGCAAAGGTTTAACCCGATACAATCATTGTTGCTTGATTTGCATAGTGGAAAGTGAAAGAATCAGAAGGAATTTAAAATGATGTTATATGGAAAAATAAGCGTGGTTGAAATACGATTTCGCCCATTTTCGCACTGTAACATAGAAATATTAGAAGAATATTATGTACCGAAGGTGGTTGAAATCGGTTAAGCAGATCCCAAGATATGGGTTTTCACCTAAAATTGGGCGGTACTACGCCAATGTTTAATTTTGAACGCGGTTCCTATAAAGTCATCTCATGCCATCCCAGAGATGCAATTTAATGTCTCTGACGTATTTAGTTGTTTTTAAAAGTACCGTTATATGGGGAGAAGGCGAGGTTGTCAACTGGTTTCTCCCATTTTCACACTGTCGATAGAGGTGCTAAAAACGCTTGCTCTCAGGGAATTTTGATATTATAGCTTTAGCAGTTTAGGATGTATGCACATAAAATCTATTAGGGGGCGGGACCACGCTCACTTAAAAAAAAATGTTTAACTGCAGATGCCCCTCCCTAATGTGATCCTGTATACCAACTAAGAGTCTTGTATCTTGTTGTGGAGCTTAGTTATGGCAATTTATTTGTTTTTGTTAAAAGTCGTTTTGTGGGCGTGGCAGTTGTCCGATTACGCCCATTTGCTATACCAACCGTCTTACGGTACCAAAATGTGTACCAAGTTTCATAAAGATATCTCAATGTTTACTCAAGTTACAGCTTGCTCAGCTCAACTCGTCTCTTCATCCTGATCATTTATGTATACATAAACCTATATATAACTAGATTAGTTTTGGGTGATACAAACAACCGTTGATGAAAAAAACAAATATACTCTCTAGCAACAGGTTGCGAGAGTATAAAAATAGGGTGCGTGAAGTCCCTCCAGAAAGAAGTGAAACTTCATTATGGCAATTGTAGACATGAAAGGATTGAAATCAATGTCCAAAAGCTGGGTATATTTTCAGGTTTTGGCAAAACTTTATACTAAACAAGTAAGGAAAGAATAAGTTCTGGTATAACCGACCATTTTATACTCTTGCAACCTGCAAGAATCAAATGCCCTCAGGAGCTTTATATTAAAAAATGTGGTTAAAGAATTTAGCATTCATTATTTCATTTGGTATCTTGTTGACATATGTATGTATATTAAGGATGAAAAACTTAGACTTAATTTTATTGCTGTATTTTAGTTTGCGTCAGCGGAAATTATATTAAAAACATATTCAAATGATGAGATATACTTATGTATGTATGTGATATCAACTCAACCGAAGAGGCTTAATTTAATATACATACAGATATTGAGTTGATGTGAAAAACGTTAACCAGAGGTTCGGAATTTATTATACTAGGGATATGAAATTTAGATCAACATCTAGACCAATTTGATTCTAATTCAGCGCTAAACCACATAATTTATAAGAAAACTTACCCATTTAATTTCATTAAAATATTGTTAAAACTCAGGTGGAAAAAGGGAACTCATTAACCCGATTTAATCTATTTTTGCCAATAAAACACCTACTATTAACATGCCACGAACTAAAAACATGCTCCTTGGGTTTCATTAAGGTACCTCACTGTCCACATATTCTAGGGGCTTGAACAGTTTTGGATCGATTTGGACAATTTTTGGTCATAACATAAGGTGACGCACTTCAGAAGCACTATTCGTGCAAAGTTATATCTTCTTATTTTAATTGGTGCTTTAATTGTATACTGGAATGTGAAAGAATCAGATGGAATTTAATATTGTATTATATAGGAAGTAGGCGTGGTTGTAGTCCGATTTCTTCATTTTTCGCACTATAACATTGGAATATTAGAAGAATGTTATGTACCGAATTTGTTTGAAATCAGTCGAGCAGGTCCCGATATATATGATTACACCTAAAAGTGGGCGGAGCCACGCCCATCATCGACTTTTGACACCGGCACTTATAAAGCCATCTTGTGTTATTCTGGATGTAAAATTTAATATCTCTGACGCACCCCATTATATGGGGTTATCATTCGATTTCGCCTATTTTCACACTATCGTAAGAACGATTGGAAACATTTGTCGTGTGCAAATTTGGATGATATAGCTTTATTGGTTTGGAAGATATATATATTAAACTCATTAGGGGTGGGACCACGCCAACTTTTTAAAGATTTTCAACCCACAGATGTACCCTCTTTAGTTATGTATCCTGCTTTACGGCTTAGTTATACCACTTAATACGTTTTCGATTAATGCCATTTTGAGCGCGTGGCAATGGTCCAATTACGCCCATCTACGAACTCGTCCTTACTTTTCCGCCAAGGAACACGTGTACCAAGTTTCATCAAGATATCTTAACTCAGACAGCCACCCGGATTTCAATTTATCTCGTCATCCTTATCATTTATATATGTATATATAACTGACGACGACAAACTACACGCTGCATCAAATATTAACATACACACATTCCTATGGGCACAATTGTTTAGACAGCAGCACGACTTCACGGCATTAGGCGTGCAGTTGTCACTAAATTAAAACCATTTTGTAGTGTTGCCATTAATATGTGAAATGTATAATTATTCAAAGCTCTAATAAGTGTAACGGTATTTCACCAACAGAGGCATAAAAAGTTCTGATCTATCATTTGTAATAACAATAAAATTTAACTTTGAACAACATATTTAATTTTCATTGAAGTGAAAGGATTTACGCCAATAACGAAATTGTGTACATCAGCTGTTTGATATGTCGCAACCGTCTTGAAAATTTCAAGAAGCTGGCTTCAAAACGACATTAGCCGACCAGAAAATTTCACTGTCGTGCAGTCGTGCTTTACCGTCATCTTTGTGTTCAAAGCATTAGGTGATACAAGCAACCGTTAGGTAAACAAAACTATTGTACTCTGTAGCAACATGTTGTAAGAGTATACAAATGTTGCGGTAAAATTCAACATTCACCATTTGACGAAATCGAAATCAAAGAATAACAATCATATTTGACATCTTATTAACTTACTCGTCAAATACTCACTTAGTTTCGTTCCTGCATTTTACTTCTTGTCCGAGATATTTATGTTAACATCATCCTAATGAGCTTAAATGACATATACATAAGTATGTACTATATGTATATATGTGATACCAAACAATAACCAAAGTGGCTAAATTGAATATATTAGGAACATAAGCAAAACGTCCACCAAATAATCGGAACTCATTAAATTAGGTTCATAAGGTTTACAGGTCTTGACCAATTTCAATAATATTTAAGGCTTAACGATATTATTTTTAAGCCAACTTGTCGAGTTATTCAAATATCACACATATTAAATTGACCGATATATACGATTTAAACTCAAATGGAAAGTCGGAAACCACTGTTTCGGGTTCAAAGTTAGCTAAATAGTCGGAAATCACTATATAGGATATATTTCGACTAGAGGAAGGTCCGGACTGATTGCCATAACTCTTGAGATTACTCATACTCGAGAACATATGTACTTCGATGCAATTTCATGAATATAACTCATACATTGACTGGCATTAGGCATATTCAGTATAAAGTCTGCTAGAATAAAGAAAAACATTATGTGTAGTACATGGGAGCTGGGTAATTTGTGGATCCTTTTCACGCATGTACGGAAATAATCTAATATATAAATAGATTATCCGGATGACGAGGCGAGTTCAAATCCGAGTGACAGTCTGTCCGTCCCATTGAAATCCTCGTAAAATTTTTTTTTATGACCAATTTCAACGAAATTAGGTTTATAACATCATTCTGATCCTATATTACGGTGTGCGAAGACATATATCAAAATAGCGTTTTATTTTTATATATAAGTGGATATGGGAACTAGGGGAAAGAAGATACGCTCTCTGAATTTCATTAAGTTTACTCACATATTGATCGACATATCCGGTATACAATCAACGGGATTCTCTCCGGATTTCAATATTCTTTCTCACTGATTTACCGATATTTTTAGCAAATTGTGAACCATTTGAGCTGGCCCGATTTCGAATATTTTTAGACGTGATATGGCTCACCTTAAGGGCACTATTTGTGCAAAACTTCATTTAGATAGTGTCATTGGCTGTTGATTTTTATACTACAAAATGGAAGTAACATGGAATTTAATGTTTCTAGGCGTGATTGTTAACACACTTTTCTCATTTTCTCACTAGAGTTGGTTGATATTGGCCAAGAAGCTCCTGAGATATAGTATTTGACCTAAAGTGGGGCTGTGCACCGCCCATTGTTCAAATTTGGCACCGGAATTTGAAGCTTCCGACGTATTTATTTAACTTAGTAAGTTATCACACTATTAGTAGCTTTTAACATAACCAAGGAAGAAACGTCGTTATCACATCAGTTTTGATTGATTAGAGAGCTAGATAAACTTACCCTCAGCAAGTTTGTTTGAAATAACTTTAGTGAGTTGTGAGATTGCATATCTAACCTTTCGGGTAAAGAAATTTCCCCTTACGAGAATAACAAAAAGCACAGCAAAAAAAAAGGAGCAAAAGTTCACTGGCTAAACAGCACTTCTCAAAGCCACCCATTCAAACCGGGGGCTGACTGATGCTATTAAAATTTTAGTTGGAGATGCATTAATTACATATTACACTAAGGTACCATTATTAAAGGACTGTTGCAAAGCAAAAATTAGCTAATGGGTAATTTTGTTGTTAAGAATTGTATATCACGATATCGCTTTCTGATACTAGCATTAAAGAAACACATATATACTTATTTAACCGACTTCAAAAGTAGGAG